GCGGCCCCCAGCGGCCCATGGGATGGGGGCAAGAGGGTGGGCCCGTGCCCCTGGGCAGAGCCCCCCACCTCCCTGTCCCCCCTGGGTCCCCCCCATGCTCCAGCCCTGGGTGCAGCAGCCCTGGGGCAGCTCTAGCTTACACCGGGAGGGGACGGGCCCTGCCCAGCCCTGCGTGCCGAGGGTCCGCAGCCCCAGTCTCCCCGCGCCCCGGCGCAGCCGCTCTCCCTATGCAGCGAGGGGAAAATCCAGGGGGATGAATCAGCAGCGGGTGGGAGTCACGCTGGTGGCGCCGGGGGAGCAGGAAATCACGCTCGCTGTCCCAGCACGGCCGTGAATCGAGGCTTTGATTCCCCCAGCTGCCACCAGCACGGGGCGAGCGCGGCTGGCCGGGTCCCGGTGGTGCCTGGCTCCTGGCTGCCGGAGGAAATTACTGCAAGCAGAAAATGAGCAAAGCAGAAAGGACGGGCACTTCAAAAGACAAAGATTTTCTCTGTCACAATTATATTGCAGCTGCCATGAGTTGATCAGACCCCATTGATAATGTTGGGAAATATCGTTTGGGGATGTCAGAGACAGATTATAAAGTTAAGTGAAGGCAAACTGGAATCCTGACTTCAATTTGAAAGAAAAAACCCTGTCTTTAGATGCATACATGTGGCAGACACAGCTGTAGATAAAAGCTGCAGATATGCCTCCAGGAGTGTAACTTAGTCTGTAGATTCAAAGGCTTGCATCGTAGGCAGAGCTGGTGTTGCAACCTATTATTAAAGGTGACCAACATTAGCCTTAATATGATCCTGTGCTAAGAAATCTGATAAGATTTACTTTGAAACATTCTGGAGACTTTATACTTTGGAGTGAGGACTTCAAATTTGGGGTCCAGGCTGTCCCCACCGGCTCCCCCCGCCCTGGGGGGGGACATGGCCACGCTGCTGGGCTCCCGCCAGCCCTCGCCGGCGGTTGTGCCGAGATTGGGCTGAAAACCCAATAATCCTGTTAGTGGGAAGAAGGCTGATTTCTCCCCTAATCCCGTTTGCTCCCATATGCCCTCGCCCCCGGTGTTATTAAGCCGCTTTGGCTGCAGATGGAGCTGCACCAGGCACACATCAGGGGATGGGGGGACTGGGGACCCCCCCGGCTTCAGGCTGACACCTCGAGGGGTGCGAGGGCCATGAGTGCTGCCAGGAGCCTCCCCCCGCCGCCCGCCCCGGGGGGGACACAAGGGACGATGCCCCACACAGCCACCAGGTCCCAGCGTGACGCAGGGTGCCAGGAGCTGCTCTGGGTCCCAAACGCTGGATTTGTGCTTTTAAGCATTTTTACAGCCGCAGGCTGCAGCGACGGCTCCTCGTGGGCTGGGGGAGCGAGGGGAAACGGCTGCCCCACGGCTCGTCCCACCACGCCGTCATCAACGCC